TTCGGACATGTGCTTCATTTTGGGCTCGACTTTTGGAGATAGCTAAGAAGTATCTAAACAGGGCTAGAGCGGTTGGTTTAGAAGTGCCTATGTCGCTATGCGGGTTGGGGTCACATGGTAGAGGGTGCATGTTTTATAGTTCCGAGAAGGAATCAAACCGATCATCGGGGAGCTCTAAGGATTTTAAAACTATCCAGTTTCTTCCTCAGGTAAAATATATTGTATGAATTATACTCTTCAAAAAAAGTAGGGGATATTCAGAAACAATACAAAACTTCGGAAATGCACTTCTGTTTTTATTAGAGGTAACCAGTGGATGTCAAAAGTGAAAATGGACGTTTTTGATTTTTGTCTTAATAATGAGTAATTGCTCCACCAATCCTCAGACATTCAGGAATTCGTCGTGGCATGCTCCTAATCAATTGTCAAATCACGATTTGCAGTGCCACGGCCAATTCTTGCAGTGTAAAACGTAATACACTAAAGCAAAGATACGCTAAACAGTAAATCTTATGCAAGAACCGATAGGAAATCTAACATGGATAGGATGAACCAGCAAGCGGAAGTTTTCATCAACTTTCCTTGAAGTGTCAAATTTGACAATGAACCCCTCCCACGTGTATGGCGCTATTGCGTGTCGCACATGCAGTTCAGTGGTTCTGTTGGGGCGATAAGTTCTTCATCTGTGAACATACTCCCAAAGCATTCAAGTGTCAATGAGTATTTATCAGATCACAACCTGCATAGGTATTTGCATTTCAATATCCCCTCCTGTATTTGAATAGTATATTTTATCAAATTTCTGTGTCAGGCAAAGCTATCCGTGACCACTTTATACCTTTATGCTTTATTACCATGTTTATTTCTATTACTATCATGTAGAAAGGTGTCGACATATCTTAAATGGGCTTGAACTAGGTTTCAACAAACCTCATACCATCATATTAAGACGCAGACACAAGATGGCTGCCTGGTTGAAGCGTATCATGAAATCAGTTACAGGATATATTTCCTGTTTCATTCTTGGGATGCGTCTGTTTTTTTAATACTACAATCGTTCATCCATTCATTCATACTGCCATACCTACTCCGATAAAGAAATACATGTAATGTACAAAAAGGATTAGACTATTTCGTGTCTGAGAGATCTATACAATTATCAAGGAACTGAGTAATATGATTTGCATAATGTTAGGTAGAAAGGTAAAGAGTACCATAGCTCAGTACAAGTGAATATTATAATATTTTTAATTGTGGAGAGATTAGGATGAAGCGTGAAAATTGGTTTTAACTTTATATCTTTCTGTCCATTCGGGCTGATGAAGATGTACGTTCACGAAATCGGCAAAATGATTGCGATTCCACAGATAAAGGGAGATAACTATTTTCAGCTGTCGTGAAAATAAAAGGAATTCTGAGACTGGCATGTATTTTTGGTTTTCTCTGGCTATCTGTATTTGTGATTCGAGGTACTGAATTTTGGTTCAAACTGACCAAGTTATCATTACGTAAACTATCAATGTGTACACCGGACCTTCGACCTGGGGATTGCGTCAAATTAAACATACGATTAAATATAATTTTCTTGTCGGCTAGTTTCTTTAAAACATGGTAAGTTCCCAATGCCAAAGCCTATGTTTCGAACCCGACATGAGCATTTTATTCCAAAACCACGGATATTGTAAAGACAGACGTTTAAGACAATGCAACAACCGTCTCAATGCTTATGGTTTTAAGTATAGACAACGCCACTTGACACACATAATTATTAGGTAGTCACGGGTATGGGTCTTAAACAAATAAACAAACTCTGCATCGAAAATCTGGGCCAACCAAATTATCTCCTGTTTGTAACGAGCAACAGATAATAATTGTATCTCCTGTAGCGCTAGTTGTCTGAGAGTCGAATAATGCGTTTGTAAAAGCTAATTAAGACGAATCCAATTAGACTGTGTTATTTGCCAAGCAGATCGGCCTGCAGAGCTTCTTCGCTAATCTTAAGTACGGTTGTAGGATACAATTAAACTGGGATTACATACTTTTCACCATAAGATGGTAAGTTACGTACTTTCTCCCATACTTTGTACATCTTATTAGACCAAAGTTTTAGGCTTTTTGTTATCTAATTCTAAAGTGCGGATACTTGACGCTTGAATATAAAATAAACACAAAATATAGGGACATGTTCGGTGGCAGGAGTGTGTGGGGGGGGGGGGGCAATATCTGACTTTTCGTGCAGACTGGAAAAGTGAAAACAAAAATTATTATTTAATCTAGATGGCAAATTAAAGTGTCCGAAATCTAATAAAACACTAATTTTACTTTTCTTTTGATTGAATAACACGAATTTGTATTGTGACTATGGATTAAAACATTTTGTCTGGAACCAGTCTAATTTGTTCGACATTTTTCGGGCATCAATTCTGCAACAGTCCATTGGATGGTTGGAATTCAGGTCGGATGGTTGGAATTCAGTTCGGATGGTTGGAATTCAGGTCGGGATAGAGTGGAATTTCGGTTGCAAAACGACTTGAAAACTTTGAAGTTGCTTAACTCACGTACTAGAATAATATAAATAAAACGCATTTGCGGCCGTTAAATTTCAATATTGTCTCAGGGAGGGCACGTGACATCGGTTTTTCGTCCCATCCGAACGACTAGACGCTGGTCCTTAACATGCCCTCCGTCCTGCACCATTACCACAAATTCACATGTAGAAAGTATTCTTTATTATTAGGCGTGTGCCCTTTTTGTGTGCCATTCCACTACGGCATGATTTTCTTCGGTTATTGCATTCAAAAATCTATGTCTAACAATACCTATTCTTTACCCCAAAATTTTCGATCACCCAATCTGGTTTAGATGTATACAGATGTCAAAAATTGTTAGTAACCAGTGAGCTAAATAACGGTTACTATTTTTAGAGAGTCTTCCAATAAATCTGAGACAGTTGGCATGGGTATGTCAACAATGCCTCCATGTTGCTGGAAAAGGTATTACTTCATGTTCAGGGCCAGTCTTGTGTGGTAAATAAGGGATACAACTCTTTTTATAAGATGGAAACAGACCACCAAATAATCCTACATTCACTTTACCCGTAATGTTAATTCTTGTCTCTTTGTCTGGCACTGGCTTTTCTGCAGATTTCGTTTGTGTGAGGGGGCCTATGGACATTTTTAGACACGTGAATTTGAAGGTGCATACTAGTAAATACAAAGCACTACACACCTCTGTAACTAACAACTTAACTCTGCTATTCTTCCGCCTAAAATCATGAATATGCTACAAAATCTGACAGAAAATCTGCCCTAAATCATTCGGTTTTCCACTTCCTGCGGTAGCTACTGAACCCATATCTTGCACCCTCCAACCCAGCCTCCACTTGCCGTGAACAACTTATAATTATTTTTTTTATTTTTTTTTTTTCAGACTGGGCTAAATTTATCACTGGGCATATTTCTCGTAATTTGTCACCTGGGATGCCTGGAGACCTCTGGTTCCGATTGTTCAACATATTCTAATGGCTGCAGTATACCATTTGGTGCCAACTTTTTCTTTAAACAAACGTTTACACCAGCATGTGATAGACACGATGCTTGTTATAAATGTGTAAGTAGCCAAACATTTTTCGTGAATTTTTCGTCCAACGTCTAACTACCCCTCACCTTTCGTCTGTTAGCCTTCTGCAATTTAAAGCTCTTGTCGGTAGGTGGGTAGGTAAGTGGATAGCTTGCTTGTTTCATATTATTCAAATTGTTCAATTCAGTTTGTTCGTGGTCATAGGAGCTAGACAGGCGTCTCGGTAATGCTGATTCAAATTATATTTGCCAAGCTGGATACGCGGACAGTGTCTCTGATACACCTAAGGGCTTGAAGAGGCAATTAAGAGAAAATGTTATTACATTATTAATAGAACTAAAGCACCATGGACGAATAACCGTTCATGCTTTTGAAAATTACTGACAGCAATATTTTCAAATGTAGTAATGTACTAAATAAAATGTAGTATAAGGGCGACAGAGTACATAAGAGGACGTTTTTCTCCCATAAAATGTTTTCGGTTCCAGATTATTTAAACATGCATTATGCAAGAGCAAAATCTGCTTATTACAAGTCTTTCTTTAGACCTGAAATGTTATCTATATTATCAATTAGACATTAATTAACTTATCCAGACCATAATAAACTCTCGATGTCAAGGCTAGCCTTCGATGTTGGCTGGATTAGATTCCTATATGCCGCTTAACGGCCATTGATAATTAAATCAAAACAGTGGATAATCGAGACTATGCTGTTTATATTAATGATTTTAGTATTGATGACCGAGACTATGCGAAAATTTCACCTGCTTCGTTCTCGGCTCAGTGGATCAATTTGACTGAAATTTTCAGCAAATTACCTTTACATGATCTAGTTTTTAGCTATTATAGCGAGAACTGCCATCTCTTTATCATATCTCCCATAATGTATCTTTAATGATAAGTATACTACCAACAATCAACATCTAATAATATTTTTCAGGGAGTGATTTGGAATCTTAGCAGACGACGATGTGATCATACCTTCAAGGATCATTTAAAACGGATATGTCGACAAACTTTCAGAAATCCCAGTTTCAACTATGTGCGTTGTAAATTTGTTGCCAACATCTACTACGCTGCTGTACGTGCTGGTGGTGGGATGGGTTTTAAAACACAACCTAAACCATGGTGTACCCCAGCCGTCAGGGCTTGTTTACCCATTTAAGTTTGAATTTTTATTTTCTTCCCAGGTGACATTTATGTTAATTAAAAGTTACCAACATCAAGTTCACAACAATTTGATCTTCCCGTCGGTCAAGAGCAGGAGGGTGTTTTACAGGAATATCGACAGTACTTAGCATTAGATCGAATTCAAGTTTTATTCCCGCAAATACTAAAACACCTTGTATTGTCCATATGGTGAAATGTACATGTTATATGAATCACTGGTAACAATAAATAATCTAAAACATACAAACATTTTTGTTAAATTAGTTTAATTTTCATTGTATTTACTTGAATAAAAGTTCTCTATATTACCTTACATAGAATTAAGTCATTACCTTAAGAATTAAAACAAACGGGAAATGGGCAGTTAAACTTTGTTCGTATTTTCTTTGGTCTTCAACGTCACTTGACCCACCTAAGCTCATATACATCTATGTTACTAAGTGCTTAGAGCAATGCATTCCTGATTTTACTGGGACTTTTAATATTCGACTTATATACGGTAACTTAAACATGCATTATGCAAGAGCTAAATCTGCCTATTGCAGGTCTTTCTTTAGGCCTGAAATGTTTCTAAAGTATTAATTAGACATTAATTAACTGATCGAGGCCTTAATCAACTCTCGGTGGCATCAGATTTCTCCGATATTAAATAGATTAGAATGGTTCAGCGATACTTTGATTTAATCAAATATGGAGGACCGGGACTTAGCTTCGATCAACCAGTACGGTGGTTGAAATTATTGCACACGTCTGTCAAACCTTCAAAGGCTAATATCTTCGCTTGCAATAGAGTAATTTGAATGAAATTTTCAAATTATTCATTTTACATCATCTACTTTCGAACTATTATAGCAAGAATGGCTAGTTCTTTATCTAAATCTTACATAATGTATCTTTAAAATTACTAGACCTCTTTGATTTGGGTTCAAATAAAATATGTAAATATGTCGATTCTATATGTTGAAGTATTTTGTGGGGTGATAATCTGTATTGGCTAACATGTTTATTTCTACATGTATATATACCATTAAATCACCCAGTTTGTACCCGGGAATGTATCTTTAACAGTCACTGTTGACACAGTAAGCTAAATATAAAACTAATAAAATGGCTGAGTGCCGCTTAATTTTTCAAAACAATAGTTAAATGAATAGAACTTGTTCCATCAGTAATCAAAATAACATTTCAGATCAATATAATTCAATAGGATAAAGCAATGACAAAATGGTTAGTTAATACAGTTCAAAACTGCATAATAGTTCACATTAACTCTACCTCGGATATTTCAGTCATCTAACATACTTCAATCAATGCCGGACATCCATGATATTTCTTTTCAACATGTTCATCTGAGATATTTCTTACTTTCTATTAACCAGTAAATTAGGGATGTTTCTTTTTTACAAGTAAATATGGGGTTTTTCTCATTAGCAAGTAAATATGGGGTATTTCTCATTAGCAAGTAAAATATGAGATATTTCTAATTAGCAAGTAAATAAGGGATATTTCTAATTAGCAAGTAAAATATGAGATATTTCTTATTAACAAGTGAATATGAGATATTTCCTATTAACAAGTAAATATGCGATATTTCTATCATTAGCATGTAAAATATGAAATATTTCTTATTAGCAATTAAATTTGAGATATTTCCTATTAACAAGTAAATATGCGATATTTCTCATAAGCATGTAAAAAATGAGATATTTCTCATAAGCATGTAAAATATGAGATATTTCTTATTAGCAAGTATATATGAGATACTTCTTATTGGCAAGTAAATATGAGATACTTCTTATTAGCAAGTAAAATATGAGATATTTCTTATTAACAAGTAAATATGAGATATTTCCTAAGTAAATATGCCATATTTCTTATTAGCAATTCAATCTGAGATACTTCTTATTAGCAAGTAAATATGAGATACTTCTTATTAGCAAGTAAAATATGAGATATTTCTTATGTTTTTTATAATCAATTAAATCTGAGATATTTCTTGTAAAAAAAGTACATTTGGATACTTCTTATTAACAAGTAAATATGAAATAATACTTAACAAGAAGGAAAATCAGAAATTATTATAATGGAACAGTAAACATCTACTGGAGACGGAGTTGATTCAAATGATGACTGAGTAGATGGAACTGAGCACATCTGCATTAGATATTTCCAATTGCTAGATTACTCTGGTGTTGAAAAATCCTAATATGAATATATTTAGAAAATTTAAAGTATCAACATTCTGTTTGGTAAATATAGATATAGGCTGAATTAGACAAAAAATCAAAAAATATTGTAAAAATACCTTTGAGACAGAATATTGTAATTTGGATAAGTATATAATTTTAACAGAGTAATTAATCTAAATACTGTTCTTGACAACCCATAGCATTTGACAACATTGGTAATAATGGGCTGATTTTATCACAAGAAATTATTGACTCTCTGATCAAATCAACACAAACCATCTTGAAAAAAGCTATAAATGTACATGATAATGACTGATATATCACATAGGTTTATAATTTCCTTTAAATATTTTGTTCTCAAATTAATGGGATTTCTTGCATATGTATTAACTAGAAAAATTGATCCAAAGTGTAAGGTGAGGCACACAAACACATTATACACCCACTGGCAACCATATCATTTGTTGACATGAGGCATCTTATGGAATGGGTAGATTGGGTTTTCTAGTAACTGAACAGTAATTGGGCAGAAAATTAACAAAGCAATGGCAATATACCAGTCCAAAATCACCAATATCACCACAATAAAGGAATACATTATTGAAAGATAGCCAAGTTTGAAGCAAGAGAAACAAGCCAACAATGAGGCTCATGTCCTAAGCCTCAATCCCAAAATAAATAGACGACACTCACTGATCACATTTGTCTTTTATGAAGCATCTAACAATCAAATTGTTTCTCCCTTTGCAGACAATGTACATTATCAAACTTAGTCAAGGCATTGAAGTAATGAAACTAACTATATACCAATGACTACACAGAGTTTGAGCATTCTAGCCCAGCTAGAAGCAGAGTTATTGCCTACCAAAATGTGTGAAGGACAAACAGAGGAATAAACCATTTTAATAGTCCCCAACTTTCTTGGGGGACAATAACTCTTAACCATAATCCCTGAAATCTTAAATACATGCATGGCTGTAAAACTATAAACTTAGTAAGAAACAAACATAAATTATTTTGTACAAAACTATATAAATATTTTTAACAGTGCCTTTTAATCCATATTCAACACAGAAGTCTAGCATAATGAACATTATTATAAAAATACATGTACAATTTCAATCCCATCCATTTGTGATAAGCAAAATATACAGTTAGTCCTTTACATTTCAAACAACATGACATACTGTTAAGAATAAGATGCAACATGAAAATTATTAGTTGTGCTTTAGGATTTCTAAACATGAAGAGAATTTAAACTGTATTAGATCGAATGAATGAATGAAATGGGGTTTAACCTCTTACTTTCTATGGAATGAATGAATGGGGTTTAACTCCTACTGTTCTGCACTATTTCTATAGTTTTTTTATTTCACTTTAAATAGATTATACTAACACAACCTTTAACATCTTGTATTCCCAGAAAAAGAAAATCTTGTAAATTTCAGGCAAAATCTGGACAATTATTTTTGGGCTCAACACAATTCAAAGCAGCCTAACATGAAATATTATCTAAATATAATCAACTAACTGGTAATGTAAATTTGGAATACATCAAGCCAGTGGCTGAAATGGCATCCCCTAATCCTACAGTTTTTAAAGGTTTTTTACAAACTAAAACGGGACTAAAAACAAATTCAAACCCATTTAATTTCCATCTATGAAGTGGGTGGCTACTATTAAAACTTCTTTCTATATCTCCAGAAAAAAGATGATATTTTAATGGTATATGAAGATCTATTATATTGGGATCTAACTGAGTCACATCGCAGGCCTGTAATCCTGCCACTCGTGTACCAGCCATTGTGGCTGATTCAACGTTCCCCCAGACGTCGGGATGAACTCCTGCAATGTGATATGTCAATGAATGAAAATGAATTCTTGTCAAACGGGAATTAGGATTATTTTTAGAATATCCATATGTTGTAAGAAGCCATGAAATTATGTCTGCTACTCTATGAATTATAGGTTGTCCATTATGATTTTCATAGTCTTCACCGTGTGGTCCTCCTGCAGCATAAGCAGAAAACACCAGTTCTTGTTCATTTAAGCCAAGGGAAGTAATTTCAGGAAGCACCTGTAGATAAATAAAACCAATATCATTACTGTGGTAATGTTCAGCTCTAGTTTACCCCCAAACAAATATTAAATTTATTTCTAAAAGTTCTTTAAATTTTGTACATACCTATTTGTTTAATAATAACACAATGAAAATATGCCTATGACACAATAAAAAAAAGCTTATAACATAACGAAATGATTACCTTTTTAAAATGTTTAAAAATATCTAATAATATACACTGTAGTTAAAAAAAAAAGATTGGAAAAAAAAGAATTTGGGTAAATAACAGAAAAGGCAATTTTAAAAATCTTTTGACATAATCTAGGGAAAGAATTTGTGAAAAATTTACAAACTGCATTCTAAATTTAAACTCATCCAAAATCTTACTTACAGATTTTATCAAGACCAAACAAAAAAAAAAGATGTCAAATTTAGATGTGTTGAAAAAATACACAAGCTGTTTAAAAAACATTTTTTGATATTAGTCAAGTAACTGGACTCTAGTTACTTGTAATTGTGATCCCATCTCCATTTCAAGGTGTGTGGCATTGGCTAGATTTGTTAGATCCAAAAGTTATAAATGAACTGTAAAAATGCAATAATCCTAATTAAACTTGGAATTTTGAATTAATTCGGTATTTTATTTCTATTCTAATTAAAAGTTCATCAGTAAGCAAAGGTGTGGCCTTCTTAGGCTCTCTTATAAATCCATCAGTAGAAAAGCTAAAGTTTTGATATATTACAAAATGACTAAATACAAAATATCTGCTAATCGGTATAAAGAAAACCCACTAGTAAGACAATTGAACATATATCCATCCACATTAAAAGTGGACATATTTTTTTCAAAAAAATCAAATAAGCATTTACTAAGGATTAACAAGCAGTAAAATTTATCAAATATTCAAATTAATTTAAATGCAATTGATCAAAATCATTTTCAAACAGTAAAAGCATTCCTCATACTGGTATCACATCAACCAATCCACAAGATGTTAATGTTTCATAAAGCCCCCTACTTGTTCTTGATTTTGTATTTTGTCCAGTGTATTTTCTTCATTCTATCTACTATCATTTATTCTATTTAGTGTACATCAATGTTTTCTAACGTAGTTATTGTCAGGTCTAGTATATTGTATTTTGCATATCATTTCATTTTGTCTAATAGTAATACTGTAATTTTTCTAGCATATCATATTTTGTCTAATATGAATACTGTATTTTGTATAGCATATCATAATTATTCTAATAGTAATACAGTATTTTTCTATTATGTCATATTTTGTCTAACAGTAATACTGTATTTTCTAGCATATCATTTTTTTTCTAATAGTAATACTTCATTTTTCTAGCATATCATATTTTGACTAATAGTAATACTGCATTTTGCTAGCATATCATATTTTGTCTAGTACTGCATTTTTCTAGCATATCATATTTTGTGTAACAGTAATACTGTATTTCCTTAATATCATATTTTGTCTAATAGTAATACTGCATTTTTCTATCATGTCATTTTGTCTAATAGTAATAATGTATTTTTCTATCATATCATTATGTCTAATAGTAATACTGCATTTTACTAGCATATCATATTTTTTCTAGCTTGTCATATGTTGTCTAATAAACTCCATTTTCTAGCATGTCCTATTTTGTCTTGTCTAGTATGTTGTATTTGTCTGATAAGTTGTATTTGTCAAGTGCATATTAATTTTGAAGGATGTTGTATTTTGTCTAGATTGCCCGGTTTAATATGTACATCTTGTTTTCGTAAATTTGAGTAGTTTACACCGTCTGGTGTATGGTATTATGTAAGCTTTTCAAATATGTTCATATATAGGGAATTTTTTCTACAGTTTGATTAGTTATATATTTCAACAGGTTAATGACTTCTTAATTTTTCTGTTTATCAAAGAAGATGCAAATCTAACAACATCATCTACAAAGGTAACACACAGGCATGTCTCTTCTATCCTCCCAACAGCAGCAAAGTTGTCTGTGTTATCTATAAAATTCTAACGATAACTCTTCTTTCATGCCTCAACGAACCATCTCACCAAGTTTTAAAAAACTCTATCGAGAACATTGTCTTGCATCGTATTTCCATGATTTCACTGATTTGAACGTAAACAATCAGATAACTTCACTGTTTGCAAAACCCACTCTGATCCATAGAGAGTTTACAAGAAATTATGGACTGATGACAGACCTACAGTCACAGCTGATGACAATATATGTTCACATTAAAAGTGGGCATATAAACAGTCTAGGTTTTAAAAGATTTAAACTAGGGGGAAACACAGGCAAATATATTAACCTTGTACATTTCTCTACTGAAGGTTGTTGTTAATTATGGTTATTGTTTACTTCATATTCTACACCTGCAGAAATTATTACAACAATTATAATACGGTACTCCATACAAATTTTGAACATGCTTATTAGAATCTATCTATTGAATAATGAAGTCAGTCTCCAATACCAAAACTACTGGGTGATTTTGAATATATTGGCATGTTATCATCAAGGTTCTAAGATAACCATATTTCTATCCATGATCTTTTTTATTTATACCAACAAAGACCAAATTGAATGATTATTTTTTTTTAAATTGATATAATATATTTCTCTCACCTTATTCAAAATATTTTTAACAAATTCTTTGTTTGCCATACTTGCTAATTCTAAATGCACTGGAACAGTTCTTGGAATGCTACGAAGACCAGATATAAAGGAATCAATTCTTTCCGTGAAAAATTCTTCTGTTTCACCATCTAACAAATGCAAACCAGAAAACAAAGCCAAATCTGGCTGAAAATCTTTTAAATTCTCAAAATATCTTTCTAACATGGTGACTTTAGAATTGGATTCATCATAACTGGTAATAAATCGTGTGGCCACTGGAGCTGTCGAATCCCCCCAACTTTGTCCTACTTTGTACTCCATTATTAAATGTAACTCATCCTCAGCAATATGGCTATTTTTTGGAATGTTTATAGATTTAGGCATCATCTGTGCAAGTTTTGGTCCAATTGGTCCTACAAATTGAATCTGCGAAAAAAGATTTTAACTCAAATCAAAAATAATAGTGAAATGATCAATGTACTAATTTCAGTAGTGTGAAATGCAAAATATCACTTAGACCTCTAACATAACTTGTTGTGTGTGATCATATGGATTCAGGTATCAATAGCCAGATACATATGAAACTAGTAGCTTTATGAGAGAAATCTGGGAAGGCTACCCGCTACTATATATAGATTTCCAGCCACATTACTGGGCCTAATTTTATGGCTCGTGCAAACTGATGTCACTTCCATCATTGCTACTACATACATGTATACAATAAACAACCGATATAAATGTAAATAAAAGCTTATTCTGCTCATTTTCTTGCTAGTATGAAAGACTTGGCTTTAACCCCTTATACACACCAGTTCTTGATATTTTTTAAAAGGTTTAGGTTTTAACTTGGTCTGAGAAGCAATGCACATCAAAATATATGCATGGCCCTTCAACAGACTGAGCAGAAGTTGCACCATACAAAATTAATAAAATAAACTGGGGGGTTTCTTCTTCTCTAATTTTCATCCAAAGTTATTTCTGCTAAATGTTATAAGTTTTTACCTCCACATTAGGAAATAAACCTGATGCTTTTGTGGCCATGAGAGCAGCATTTCCTCCAATATAATACTGAAAAAAAAAATTATTTCTAAAAATATTTTATAAAACATGTTTTAAATGTAAGTTTACAGTTTACACACTATTCTCGTTTAAAATGTATTTGGTACATTGCAGCCTCATCAATGAAATGGCTATCTCATGGTGAGATCATGAGAGTTGGAGTCATCCCATACCGTACATGTATTTTCTCTGTCTCTAGATCTGCCATACAAACTATGAAAAATAGGACTTGTTTGGCAACAAGGTTGGACTAGAAAATCAAACCTAGGTTTTCTGTGAGCACTGCATTAATGTTAAGAGTAAGCTTACTGGGTATTTTTCTGAACACATCATCTTTGTTAAGTAGTTAGTTGTCTATTATAATTAAATACATGTACAATTAAATCTGACTATATACCTCTACACCTGACAAAGTTTTAGCTGCATTGGTGATCTGTTTATATATACTAGGTTCAGAAAAAATACGTTCTGCAGCAGAACCTTTACCAAAGAAATAGGAAAATGTTTCTTGCAACTCTTCCAGGTTATCAATGATGTCATGGTTCTTTTGTTTTCCTGGAGATATTCCAAGTTCCTTCAACAGTGTTACACCATCTACTATAATATCCAAATTTGAATTAACACTGAAAGCAAATTATATATATATATATATATTTAATGACTAATGAAGCATCGTCTAATTGCTTTATTTATACACTACTGTGTAATTAACAGTTGTGTTCTCAGAGTTATTCACAACCGACAGTTTTCCTTTAAAATGTTCATTACTGTCACTGATGCTGTTTCAGTCTTTATATGTTTTTATGGGATACGGTTTGAGTTTTGTGTCAATCTGAATACAAACATGGTTGATTTGCTGTTTCTGAAGTAGATCATTTTCAAATCAAACCATCAAACGGGTTTAAATTGAAATTTAACTTAAATTTTTAAGGCTTGATTGGAATACTTTTTTATAAAATAACGGTACATGACAGAAAAAATATGAAAAAACGATGGAAACAAGCGTAAAAATCACATATCAATCTGTCGTACCCCACTGATAGTCTCTGAAAAGATGAGGAAGGGAATTTGATTTGCTTATCCCAGGCGAAAATAACATTCTTTTCAATCAATGTCAGATTTCCTCTTGTCGTTACAGTAGACTGCCAACGATAGTAAAATACTGCAATGATAATCACAAGTGCTCCACATGACACTGATTTAATCATTTTAAAATAAATTCAATAAGCTTGACATAGATTTTTTTAAATTTAACAGTGTTGACACGTGGAAAAATCTCGTTGACGTTCATTTGTTTATTTCTAGCGGTTTGCCCAACAACTGCTGTATCAATTGTACCGGAAGCTATCGCGTTTTAAAAAAAATAGTCCTTTATTTATACAAATATGTTATAAATGATTACCTAATGATATCGAAGCCTCAAAAAGTTTCAGAGGAGATTGTTCATATTGAATTTAACACGTGATGATCTAAATAGACTGTAAAAAATACTAAAACAAATTCCATTCGAAATACATCGTATGTTGTTGCCTTACAAGATTTTCCCCATTGAATGTGTAGGAATATTACAAGGTAAGTTTTATTTTGTTGTGATGTAAAAATGACACACTGACCCAATAAAGATTACCAGATGACCTATTTAATGACATAATGACGATCTTCTGCCATCAAAATAGCAAAAATTCATGATATGAGGGCCGGGTTTTTTTTTTATACTTTTTATTAACTACTTTATAGGTCTGGGTAACAGGGTCTATTGAAGGTGAAAATGGCAGATGATGTGATAGATCTGCAAGTTTGGAAGGGGGACTGGGGTTTACCCACAGTTGACCCTGCTTGTTTGTCAACTTTGGTATGATTTAAATTATTTATAATAATACCAGAGAGAAAGAAATAATTTTAGTAGTGTATTATTTTCTGTATAAAATTAAAACGAAAGTATGACTTAGCACTTAGGGCCTAATTATAACCAGTTTGAGTTAGCCTCCAACCACGTTACTACACCTTGTCTTTTTATTACTCTTAAATAACTTTAAGTGTGCGTGTGGGGGGTGGGGGCTGGATGGCCGAATGGTTAGCATGTGTGCGCTGTATCATAAGGTCTGTCATGTGGAGTCGACTGGCGTGGTTTTGATTCCTCGGTTGTACATGACAAGGAGTAAGAGTAAGGTCACCTGTCCAACCTCGTGGGTTTTCTCTGGGTCCCCCGGTTTACTCCCACTGCTAAAGTACATGCAAGCGAAGCATGTGGGGTAGCACGATCTACCCAATTATTTTAACTTACAAGAGTAAGACAGTCATTTAGTATGTCCCAGCAGTAACCCTCACACAGAACTTGTCAGAATGTCAAAAGCCTACTTTAACCACACCTTGCCTTTACTCTTTACTTTAAGGAGGGTGGGGTAGCACGATTTACCCAAATTAACCCAAATCTACCCAATTATTTTAACTTATAAGACAATGATTTATATTGATATTTGATAAATGCCTCCTCAATATGCAATTTCCAAGCAATTTTGGATGTTGTAACCAAGGGACGCTTTATTGCACGAAATTGCTTGTTGGAAATTGCATTTTGAAGGATATTTTTGAAACAAAAATGTTATGATTTAAAATTAATAATGCAAAATTGGCAAATAGAACAGTTATCAAATATAGAAATATGAGTTGAAATAATGGTGGATTTTGGGTAAATTCATGCTACCTGTGGGGACTTGGGTGGTGGAGTTGTCGAATGTACATGTATGTGCTTAGCCGTTAGATCATAAGGTCTTTCATTGAGTCAAGTGACATGGTTTTGAACTGAAGCTTGTCATTTGATCTGAAGCTTGTACCTGACAAGAAGTATAGAGCCTACAGGTTCCCATTTTCATGTTCATGGGTTGTGTCTGGTTTTTTTTGGTTTCCTCTTACTGGTATAGATCCATACACACAAGCAAATTATTGAAATTAAATTGTACCATGTTATTGTGAGGCCCTGTCTAATTTTCTCTTATGTATTTCAGTCATATTGTAGGTTTTCTGGAGTTCCTGTAAAATTACGAAAAACTGGTAATCCATGGAGATCTCCCTCAGGTCTGTATTTAAAGTAGCAATGCATGTACCGGTAACTAGAATCATAATAATAATAATTGTTTTCTATAACACTGAACATTCATAAATCATGTCAAATCATTACATAGTGTAAAAAGATAACATATTGTGGCTATGGCCATTTACTATAGATTTTTTATCTGGTGTATTGCCCTACAACAGTATTGTTGATATTATTGTGGTCCGAGATGTATAAGTATGAACAGAGTTATATCCCTTTGATGCCAAGAGGTGGCGCTTTTTGTTTTGAGCATTGTATGTCAACCATGCTTGCCTGACTGAAAATAAATATTTCTTCTTTGAATGTTGGTATATCTCGTTCATTGTATATGAACCCCACTACATCCGGAAACCTCGCACACGTTCCCAAATAAACATTTGAAAGTCTTCTTCTAGTTCTGTTTTGGCTACAGTACCAAGGGATAGATTTCAGATATTTTTGGAAATTGATTTATATAACGAAGCTTACACTGTCATAGTTACTAAAATTGATATTAGTATGATTAAAGGCTGAATAATGACAGCAACTAGCAAGTTATTCTGATTTACATAAGTTTATTGCCACTTTAAATTAAATGAATTTATGATGGATGTCATGATATCATTCATAAATTACATTTATTGTGCAATTCGAATCGGCTTACTAGTTTGCCCCATCTACATGTATGTACAAGTATAAGAATCGTAGCATAGAACATCTGGGATGGACACTACTTTTATTAATCTCTAATATAATTGAATTTATTTAAAGGTGAACTGCCAATAATGAAACACAGAAATGTAACAGAAACAAAGGTCTCAGAAATATTTAGTTATTTAAGAAAGCAGGTAAGAATAAAAATTGAACCTGCAGCATGGCCCAAAATCAAAAAAGAAAATGCAATGAAATGGAATAAGTTTTAACGTTCTATTGTTCTTCTCCTACTGGGCTAATCAAGACGGGCATACGTCATGTGGTGTGCTATGAGGGAAATTTTGCCTGGAGAACAATGTGTATGCGGGATTTAACCTCGGTTTTTCGTCCCATCCAAACGACTATACATTGTCTCTTGCCAGGCCCTCTTCTTAGTTCATCACATCGAAATGATTAGACACTGTTCCCTACCAGGACCTCCAATCTGCACCACTAACAAGGGGAAAATCCCGGCTCAGCAAACACCAGGATTGAACCCCAGATCTCTTACTAACTGAACCACCATGGCTTTCAATTTCAATTTAATTTAATTTCATGTTAGATAATGAATTCTTTGATAACTTTCATATTAATTTCAGAATTATGGTTGTGATTTTGCTTTATCAAATAAACAGAGTGCTGATGCTGTAGCATTTTCTTCCATGTTGGAGGAGAAGCTCTTGCCTGCCATCGTAAGAATCTTTTTATTTTGATTTAAATTAAATAGAGTAGCTTAAGGTGTTTATTGAACTCATAGAACTACTAAGTAATGAAAATGTAATGTGTTTATTTATTGGATACTCAAGTGAATGTTCTAGACTTGAATTCTCTCATTGCTGTGTGAGGTATTAATCAAGAATTTGGGGTTACAAGGTGTCGGTCAGCTGCAGTGTTGGGATTTCAAAATTACTGAAAGTAAAGGGGCATAACTCTTATCATTAATTAAGGAGGCAGGTTCACTCAGACCACAATTAAAAATCATGTGTCAAAAAATATTCAATATCGTACATAATAAAAAAAATAGGGGCACCTCGTTATTTTTCATATTTAATTCCTGTATGGTATTCAGATTTATGTCAGTAATATTCCTACAAAATTATGTGTTGTCATAATACGATAGAATGATGTGTGCCGACTACTGCAGACTCGTACTTTTTTCAAATTCACAGCGGTACTACTCCTCCAAAATTACTTTTTTCAGCTGAAGTGCGACATTCATCTTATACAGATGGAGATAATAAACAAAAATGACATTCCCAAAAATTTTGGGCAGTAACCGTCTCTCCACGATACGAAGCGAGTGACATCATCTGCTATATAATAGCACTCGAGTCTCGACCAGGGCTGCCGACAACCAGTATCGCAGCGCAATTTGCGATACATATTTTGTCCGTTGCTAATCAAAAATTAAAATCTAAAGTTTTTGATTCGCAGTAACTGCGAATCATTAATATGCCTGTCATTTTGGATATTGACAGAAGGATAATCCACATTTGAAGACTAGAAGGCTTTCTGAACACTTTCAACGTGTGTAAAATGTTGAATAAAATTTTATAAACAAAACTGAATTCTCCGTGTGACATTTTTTTCTCGAACTACCCAGACACAATTCATTATACGGTACTATATAATACAGGGACATAACTCTATGAATAGGGACTATTAAACCGGAAATAGGGAATCAAGTAGTACCACTCACGTTGCGAGACATCAAGTAATTATATTATATTCATTTTGAAAGAAATAAAGCCAGTGTATCCCCCACGTATTGTAAATAAAATATAAAAAAAATAAATATATGTTAACGTATTGTAAAATGATAAATCAAAGTAAAAATTCCCGTAAAATATCGCGTGTGTCTAGTTAATCGAGGTGCGCCCGATTGAACAAAAATAGCAATACACGATAAAAAGCAGACGAAATTGTTTTCTAACGAAGATTTCTAACGTAACGAAAAATAACAATTAAAATGATTGGGGCCTTGGAAGTCACTGTTAAGAATTGGATTCAGACATAAGACCTAACTAAATGTCTACATCACATTCACAAACTGTCACAAGTACTTGTGGCAGTGCTAAAAAAATCTAAGAATAGTAAGAATGGAATCTAATCATATTTGTTATGAACTAAAGTAATATCTTGTTATTTAGGTTTTTATGTTGAAACTGAAAAACTGCTAATCAATTTTTAAATTTGCTAATCAAATTTGGCAAAATTGGAATTTTTGATTAGCAGTGCTGCTAATCAACTGTGAAAAATTACCGACAGCCCTGGTCTCGACTCTGCATGCGCTATCGTGTAAAACAATTGACTACTAACACTATTCCAATCGAAATATTTGTCGACATTTCGCAGCTTGTTTATTTCTTTTTTTAAAAACAAAAACCCCATTCAAAATATTATCATAAACCCAAGAATATGCCATCAAATAGAATCTTTTCTACTTTAGTTTTCAGTTATTGTATTATAACATCATGTGTGTGTTTGTGAAATAGTTTATTTAACGTTGCTTCCACCGAATTGATATCGCTGATATTTTGATTTGGGGTTTTATATACTATTAGGATATGTGACATATATGACTAGTTTCTACATGTTGTCAGCTGACATCAAGGAGATTAAAATGTCCGACAATGGAGAAACCACAAGTTAATCATGTAGATTAAATTTATAATCACTCTTATTGGATTGATACCTAGTCTGACTAGGGGGAGCAATGACTTCTGTTTGAGATTAGATTGATGAATTGTCCGACAAAGGATTAAGTCAGTCAATCAAGGCAGATTAAGTAGTTAATCAATGTAGGTGGTGTATAGACGGTATACCTCGATAAATATGTTGATTACTTAATTACCTAATCAACCAAGCCTATTATCAAAGTTAATTGGGTTGAGTGGTAGTTATATACTCAGTACTCTATATTAATCTCTGAATTTTGAATATTATTCAGCATGTCTTGATGTCCAATTGGGCATATTCCTGGTCGGACAATTTAGGACATTTGGAAAATGCGGGCGATATCTTATCACTGGTCAGCTGGATATATTACTATCTCGACCAGTCGCCATTGGTGAAACATGTTCTCACACTACGTGAGTTGTTGGATATGACAGAAATGAGATATTAATGCATTTAAAATTTGTTATCAAAGGTATCATTTATGATTAATTTTTGGTAGTGACTGATGTCCACTAAAAAAAAAAATTCATAAAAACTATATTTTATTATTTATTTCAGCTGCATCTTTGGTGGATCGATGGTAAAACTTTTGTTGATTTTACTCGCCCATGGTACACTAAAGTTCTTCCTTTTCCACTCAATTTCTTCATACCTGGTCAAAAACAGAAACAAGCATCATTGAGAGTATATTTAACAAAAGGGGGTACTAATGTTAGTGATACAGAGCTGGAAGCTAAGGTATTTATTTCTAAGATATAGTAACATTACATAACTAAGTATCAAAGTAAATGAATTTTGTTTCAGAAGTACCTCATAATGACTGCAGTTTTGAATATCAGCCAGAGTGCCATATTGTTTTCACTGTGACATGTTCACAAATTTTTGTGTTTGGGCAACCATGCATTTAAATAATTATATGCCCTGTGATGCATATGTGGGTATAAAGGGAGAAAAGGCTGCAGAATCTCATTTTACTATATACGATACAAGTTGGTTTTATTTTCTTTGATAGTTTAATTATAGGTGACAAATAATTGTTTTAAAGTTGCAATTTCATATTTTTAAGTTATATTTTTAAAATTTATTAAAATAAAGCCTTAAAATAGACGGTATCTATAAACAGTCCTACCTTGTTAAAGAATAATCCTATTAATCCTATAATTCACTATTGCCAGTTGAGAAATTGGCAAAAATATCATATTTATCTTCAAATTCCAACATTTGAAGATAGCTACTCCATGGTGGAGAATAGAAAACAAGGGAGGTAATTGGGAGGTAATTGTGTTATTATTTCCGGTGTAAATAAGTTTCAAGTGTGAGAATGACACCTATGATCGTATAATAGTGAGTTGACAACCTATTGAGCAAAAGACATAGAAATAATTATGTTTTGACTTTCTTAGAAATATGAAATTGTAACTTTAAATCAAGACATCATTCTGATGTTGAAGTAAACGCTACAAATAGTTTTGGGAAATTATTGTGTTTTGTGAAATTGAAAACAACTGATTTCTTTCTTTTTTGCTTTGCAAACTGAAAACTTTCAGATCTATAAAGAAGCAAAAGAGTGCATGAATCTTCTGGCTTACAGACTAGGAAAACAAGAATATTTCTTTGGCAGCTCGTAAGTCAGACTTTATTTTTCTATTATAACTATTATTTATGTATGAGAGTGGGCATGGACTAGCATGACAATCGACAAATTCAAAACTATATTTAAACACAAAGAATGATGTTGGGATTAAGTGAGGGATGTTGCAATGGGTTCCTTCTGTTCATCTCCATCTCGTTTCCAGAGCATATCTCATGAAACTTTCAATATATTTCAACCTGTTATAGTGGTTGTGTCTTTTGCCAATTAGAAATTTCTTACATGTAATGCCACAGAAATAAATTTATTAATTTAACATAGTTTTTTGTAGCCTATACAATCATGCCTATACAATCTTTATTAACAAGCATATCTCATAAATTTTTCAAGATATTTTAGTAGTTGTGCCCTTTTCTAATTAGAAATTTCTCTTATTTAATCATTTTTATACACCTACATGGAAATGTGGTCGGATATAGCTGACGCCCCTGTCCGTCTGTCCGTCACAATTTCTTGTGAACACTCTACAGGCTACATTTATCATCTGATTGTTTTGAAATTGATATATGTTGTTTGCATTAGTGAGATGAAGAATCCTATTTAATTTCAATAACTTATGTTAATTTCTTCTGGAGTTATGACCCTTGTTTCACTTTGTTGCACCTTGTGAACGCTCTAACGACAAAAGTTATTATCCGATCTGTATGAAATTCATATGTATCGTTTAAATTAGTAAAACGAACAAGCCTATTGAGTTTCAGCAAATTTCCGTTAATTACATCTAGAGTTATGGCCCTTGTTTCACTTTGTTGAATCTTGTGAGTGCTCGAATGACAAAAATTATCACCCAATCTGTATGAAATTCATATGCATCATTTAAATTAGTAAAACGATCAAGCCTACTGAGTTTCAGCAAATTTCCGTTAATTACATCTAAAGTTATGGCCCTTGTTTCACTTTGTTGAATCTTGTGAATGCTCGAACGACAAAAGTTATCACCCAATCTGTATGAAATTCATATGCATCATTTAAATTAGTGAAATGAAGAATCCTATTGAATGACAGCAATTTCCGTCAATTACTTCTATAGTTATGGCCTTTGTTTTACTTTGTTAACCCTTGTGAATGTTCGAACGACAAAAGTTATCATCCGATCTGTATGAAATTTATATGCATTATTTGAATTAGTAAAATGAAAAAGCCTGTCAAATTTCAACAATTTCTGTAGATTACTTTCAGTGTTACAGCCCTTGTTTTAGTTTTAGAACCTTGTGAACCCTCGAACAACGAAGATTATAATGTCATCTGTATGAAATTGTCTATTAAATGCCCCTAATTACCTACGAAAGAATAAATATGTGACACCCCTTGTCGACCACTCAGACGATTTAGCTGCTGTGGGTGTATGTTTTGTTGCCCAGCAACCTATCTTTGTGTTTCCATGGAAACAAATTTTAAATACAATTCTATTCTGGAGGATATCTTTTAAGATATTTTATTTTTGTGAAACTCTATGTAGAGATTGGTTATTCCTGTACCTTTTCAAAACATGACAAAGGTCTCAGGATGTTAATGACTATATCTTGTATTTGCAGAACATTTTGAAATTAAAAACAAGCATTGAATTTTATTTAGATTTACAGGTTTTTTTAAGAGTATAAAAGGTTTAAAGATTTTTAGTTTTGTTCCATTATTGGCATCATATTTTAATGTTAATTTTCAGGCCATCATCTTTAGATGCACTAGTATTTGGTTATCTTGCACCAATCTTAAAAGCACCACTACCCAATAATCAACTACAGAACCATCTAAAAATGTGTGATAATTTGTGCAGTTTATGTAACAGAATATTACTTAGATATTTCCCTCCAGATCCTGAAGGTTGGTGTTTTGGTATTCTTGACAGGGAAGCAATAGCATTACCTTTTATTACTCTAGAGCAGAAAAGATGTAATATTAGATTGAAAGCCATAGCATTTGAGCGAAATAAATATTGTATCATGTCATTGTTTGTGTACTTATTATACAAAACCATCTCTAATGTTTTAGCTAACCTAGTCAGTAGCTTTTTAGTGTCACCAAATTAAATTTGAAATGACATACAGCTGGCATAATGTTTGAGTTAAACATCTCATTACTCTGACTTTTTGATTGCAAAGAATATTTTATAAGACCATTGTTAAAATATTTCACCTACTAGATTTAAAAACTTCCTTGATCTCTCCTAAGTATTGGGGCAAAAGAGAAGAGAATTTGGATTTAACATCAACCGTGTCATTTTGAAAGTAACATTTAGACTTTATTGTATTAATCTGCTTGCACAAAAGAGAAATCTCTGGCAATTTTTCAGCTTAGTAATACTTCTTGTCATGTACAAATATAGGATCAAACTCACAGTTGCATAGATGACAAAACCAGTGCAATTCTTTACCATATTTATCCCCACTTAGCAACTTGAGTCAAAGGTTTAAATTTTGATTACCTTTTTGGTTATTTCACACGGTTTCACATCTGTAACTTTTATTTTTAACTTCTTTAACTTTTCTTTGTAGAAGGAGCAAAAAAGAAGAAAGCAGAAGCCTCAAAATCTCAATCATCCTCGGATCTCCAAGAGTTTCCAAACAAAAAACGCAATATGGTATTAGCTGCCATCTTTGCTCTAACTGCCATGGCTGGTTACGCTCTCTTGAGTGGAATAATACAAATTGATATTGTAGATGACAGTAATTCTACTTCCGATAAAACCAATAGTACTAGTAGTTATTTTTCAAAACCACAGACTTATAATAATGAACCAGTTTTTGAGGATAACGATGGTTATGATGATGAGTAGTCCAAATGGATGGTTTGTGAAGATATTTATCAGTGATCTGTATAAATGACATATTGTATAAACAAAACCACTTTGATATGTTTACTATCCATCAAGGTGGGCTAAACAACAAAATATATCCTAGAATTTCACATTGTGATAAAGGTTGGTCCAGCAGTTGATTTTCAATCTTCATTTCGCTATTTTTCACAGATTTAATTTCAAACAAATGGACAAATACCTTTGTGAAAAGATTTGGTTTCAACAAACTTTAAATTGGTTGTAACATTTTGAAAGCAATATATAGTCAAGTTATATGCATTTATCATGCTGTGTGTGATTAAAGTTAAACTTATTCCTTAAAATTTAATTCTTTCTATTAATATTGACTCTTATCACTCTCAAATAGAAAATATAGTACAGGTATTAGCTAAGTGAAATTCTTTATAGATTGATGAACTGGATCAGATATTCTGCATAGGAAGCATAATCTTTGTCAAGTTATATGCATTTATCATGCTGTGTGTGATTAAAGTTAAACTTATTCCTTAAAATTTAATTCATTCTATTAATATTGACTCTTATCACTCTCAAATAGAAAATATAGTACAGGTATTAGCTAAGTGAAATTCTTTATAGATTGATGAACTGGATCAGATATTCTGCATAGGAAGCATAATCTTTGTCTCATGGACTACACTGTTAATTGCTATAATATTTTAATATACTGTTTGGTGTTATAATTTTAGTTGAAATTACATTAAAGTCCATGGATTGGTAGTCAATTAAAATACCTTCTTCAATTATGATATTTTATTATATATTATGTGTATTGAATGTAATTTAAAATATATATAAAGTTATTTTATGACAATCTATTTATTGTGTTATGTTTGCAAATAAAGTGATTGCTACAATCTCAAGCTATTCTAAAGAATTTCCCGAGGTTAAGTTTTCAACTATTTTATTATATGACTGGAAATATGGACCTAAAAATAAAATGGAAAACAGTCAATGCTAGATGAAGACTGGTAGTTATTTCATTATAGACCAGTGTATTGCCCTCTTTTATTGTTTAGTTGACTTTACAGTCTAGAATTAGAGAAATGGTATCAAATTTACAATTTTTAATGTTCTCTAAGTTCAGGTTAGTACTGAAACCAACATATATTGAGAAGCCAGAGAAGCTCTTTGAAAAGCAATGGAGTATGAATTGCCAATTCTACCCCTGGTAATCTAAATGGAATTGTAGTTCTTCTATTTATAGCAATTCTCTCTCTCTATCTCTTTTCTCCCCTTTTGCATGCCCATTTTGTTGATTTTTTGGTCTAGAATGGACGAAGAGGGTTTGAATTAACATTTTCTGCCAGGTTTTGGTAAATATTCATGATTTTGAGGCGGAAGGATAACAGGGTTATCAGGTTGGCTATGGCGATATGTACGGCAACTGGTTACATGTTTTTAGTATGCTTCTTCAAGTTTGTGTATCTCAAAATTTTGGTGGTCAACCTCATACAAATTTTAGTGCAAAGACATGACCATTTGTTCCTCTGTCTGTAGTAAAAAGCATTCAGCCCAACGAAAATTTTGGGGAAAGTTGGAGGTGGGCAGAATTAACATTGAAGTCAATGGGGAAGTTAATGGTGGTCTGCCTCCAAATACATGTAGTGTTATTTCCCTTTGACCACACGAAACCGGTTCAATTCAAGTCTAGGGTGACTGCGATACAGCACTAGTATAACGTTGCTAACTCAATCTCAAGATTAAAAAATGAGAAAGTCCTAATTTCAGTAATCAAACCGAATGCTGTTAACCATAATACCCAATTGGTTTACCTCATAATCTCATTTCAAACGGAAATACAGAAAGATCATCAGAATTTTCATCCCAAACAACCTGAAAATATGAAGTCCGGGGGAAATCTTTGAAATCGGCTGTGAGACTGGTCATATATTTTAATGTCGATGGTCCAATTTCATTAATCAAGATTACTATAACAACACCTGTCTTGTGGAAATATATTTAAATATTACCGATTCGTATCTGATCTACGTTCATTTCAATGATTTTAGAAAAAAAATGAATTGTGTAGGAACTGACAGCCATGTAGATCTTATCGGCCTACATGTCACGAACGTTTCTAAAGTACTTATAGAATATATCATAGCACCTAAATCGGTTTAACCAAGGTCCAAAATGATATTCTTCTGTCTGTTGACAATAAGAATTGTGTATTACTAATTCTGTTAGTCCTGTTCACCACACCTTTATTTGGGTAAGCCAGGCCTATACAGTATACGGTACTCCATCATATAAAAATGTATTTGTGGGAACCGCGTTAGGTCCTACAATCAGTGGCACTCCATGTAGTACGCTTGCTTGTAGCTGCACTAGGGACGGCTTAGAACGTACAGTATTTTGCGCTTATTCTGTCGCAGGTTGCAGCCAGAAACACGACTAAAGGATTAAACTGAATATTACCTAGTTTCGTGGGGTATATTTTCGTGTTTTGCGGGTAGAATTTGAATTTTTGTCCCCCGCCTTTCGAAGAAAGCAGGGGACTATTAAAATGGGTTCGTCCGTCTGTCTGCCCGTCACACTTTTTGGGACACAATAACTCTCTTTCTAATTGAGCTAGAATGTCCAAACTTGGTGTAGGTGTTTATTAGGTCAATGCCTTGATGGAGTTCGAAGATGAGCATTTTCTGCTTAGGGTAAGCAGAGATAAGCAATTTGATTGGTTGATGCTTTGGGACACGATAACTTTAGTTCTAATTACATGTAAGTGAGAGCATAGGCGTACGGGCTCGATGACAGTCAGGGGGGCAGAACCCGAAATGCCCGAAAAATTTTCGGGTGTACAAACAGCGGCGCCAATTTTCCTCGAGAGGCGAAGAAGCAGAGCTCCCCATGTATTCTAACCCCCCCCCCCCCCAAGAAATTTTTTGAATATTTGACGGCTGCAAACCTAATTTCCTGCTATTTCAGCCCGTGAATAAAGCAACTTCAAAGTGGTCTAATATAGCCTAATTAAGATGGCTGACTCGAATTCCAATCAAAAGATCGATCGTTTACAGTCCACGAAGACGGGACTGTTTGGAGAAAATTTTGAAAATTTAACAGCCGCATACGCGTTTTCCTGCTATTCCAGTCTGTGAATACAGCAACTTCAATTTGGTCCAATATAGCCTACCTGGCTGACCCGAATTCCAAACAACCAATCAATCGTCGCGGGGTAGGGGGGGGGGGCTCACCCTCGGGGCCTCGCCCTCCCGGAGAAAATTTTGAAAATCTAACCACCGCAAATGCGTTTTCTGCTATTCTAGCCCGTGTAAGCAACTCCAAAAGTATCCAATGGTTTTGTAACCGAAATCCCATTCCGAATTCCAACCATCCAATCAGACCGTTGCAGCTGCATTCACAAATAATAATCGATGCTCGAAAAATGTCGCACAAAGTAGAGTGGCTCCAGACAAAATGTTTTAATCCATAGTGAACTCAGTACAAATTTGTGGTGTTCAATTAAAAGAAAAGTAAAATTAGTGTTTTATTAGGGCTCAATGACAGTTCGGGAAGAAACACTAGAAATGCCCGATAAAATTTCAGGTTTACAGACAGCGGCGCCGGTTTTCTTTGAGAGGTGAAGAAGCAGAACTGACCTTGTATGGACCCCCGAAGAAAATTTTGGAATATCTGACGGCCGCAACCGCGCTTTACTGCTATTCCAGCCCGTAAAATTTGTGTTTTATTAAATTTCGGGCACTTTATTTTGCCAAGTAGATGAAATAAAATTTTTTTTCACTTTACCCTTCTGCCCGAAAAGTCAGCCTGCCCGAAAGTTAGGGGGGCAGCTGCCCCACCCCCCTGCCCCCCTGGCTCGTACGCCTATGAGTGAGAGTGAGGACACTCGGTCTAAAGCATCCATACCTTGACTAAGTTCGATAATGAAAATTTTTTGCTAAGGGTAAGCTGAGTGATAAGCAATTTGATTGGTTGGGACTTTGGAACACAATAACTCTCCTTCTAATTGAGGTAAAATGTTCAAACTAGGTGTAGGTGTCTATTAGGTGAATGTTTAAACTTGATGTAGATGTTCATTGGGTGAATGTCTTGCCTGAGTTCAATGATTAACATTTCTCGCTAAAGATCAGCAGAGCTAATCGATTTCATTTGTCGATGGTTTGGGACAAGATAATCTTGATTCTATCTGATAGAGAGTGATGAAACTTAGTGTATGGTTTGATTGGTCGATACTTTTGAAAAAAATAAATGTGCGATTATTTAATATGTGTCATCTATTTATTTTGGGATTTCGGCGGGGGACATCAGCCTCACTGTTGGCTTGTTTTTTTAAATCATTATTTTGTCGCCTGTGAATCAGCCTTTACTCATTACTTCCATATTATCTTGTTGGATATGTTTTTATTTGTTCATTACAAAATGGCACCCGAAACCATCGAAAACACGACTCGTGTACTGATTATAAAATGTTAATTGTGTCTTAAATATTGGATATTAGGATCCTATATTTTCAATATTGAATTCTAATTCGTGTTTTTAATTTGTAATATTTTGGAAAATATTGAGTTAGAGATTTAGCTCCTTTAACGTATTGAGGTAAGCAATGAAGTATCGTGCGATAATTATTTTAGAAGTCAATGTAATAAAAAAAAACCCCATACATTTATACTAGAAAATGTATTGTATCGCTCAATATTTTTTTTTGCAGGAGAATCGATCGACGTATAAGCACAAATTCTAGCCACGTCACAGAATTACAACGCATTTTCATGTAAGGTCCACATTTCACACACTTTATGCTTTACTAATCCAAAGCAGGGACACCATCACAAAATTTTAAGACTTTATGAAGACTGCAAAGGAAGATCGCTACAAAATCGAGTTGATCATTGCAAAATCCGTTGTTAATTCATCGCCGAGTTTATTTTTAAAGTTTGTTAAAGAGGTGCCGATTCAAGATATTAACCAGTTTTATAATCTTAAAGGTTAATTCATATCCCCAATTTCTGACAACGTGTGTATAAGGATATATATGCGGCAAGATGAAATTATAAAGCGATAAATAAATATTATAGAGAAATGGACTTTGTGCTTATAAAGTTTGTAGAGGACGCGGGAAGGTGGCACCTGTCGTTACTATCTTTGGAATCTGTATGTTCATCTGTTGGTATTATAATATTTAATCAGCAGTTGTTGTATTACAACCTATCTATTGTTCTGTCTTTATATATATACATCTGTTGTATCTCGTGGGTCAACCAACCTATAACTGTTCTCCTTTACCTTCCTATATATTCATTGATATATCGTTATTTGTAGAGTGTATTATAGTTATATTTGTAAGCCAAAGTACACAAATTTCTATAACGCGTGGTCGTCTGTTAAGACACCATACCTATAGTTTTTAGACATGTAAACATATGAGTATAAAAGAGCTTCGCGTGGGACCCTGCCCTTATAATTTCTCAACAATACATTTAGACTACAGCGTCGTTATTTTTAAAGTGGCTATCCATATAGTGCATACACCTGCTATCGATTCCAGTAACTCGTTTCTGCATTTAGATATTTGAAACCTTGAAACCCGGTAAAACAAACCGCAATCAATGGTATAGCCGTTAAAATATTCATAATTGAAAGCCTAATATTAAAATATTTCGTCCCTTAAAAAGTTATGAACCTATCGCATTGCACCCGGAATTCTACTATCTCTAAAAATGACAACTCAAATTTTGTTACAAAGAAAATATCGGGAAAATAAATTTTTTTTTAAAAAAAGCAAACGTTTTCTATGTATTATCGATTAACGACCAGCTAATTAAACACCTAATTGTAATTAAATACATTTGTTGT